TGTGTGTGTGTGTGTCTGAGCGCAGTTTGATCTGAGCGCTGCGGCTCCGCTCCGCCTCAACTCACTCTCATGCTGTAAAGTTAGCGGAGGCGCAATACAACACTTCCTCTCCGGCTGTTCAAAATAAAACCGTGTTTGCAAAACGAGACATTAGTGTTTTTTTGTGTGTGTGATGTGAAACAAGATAGAGTATAAGCATACAAAATGAGAATTATTCCTTTACATTTGTTTTCCAAAGATGTTGATCAATAAAAATGATGAGCACAATTACAAGAGAATCCATTTCTTCTGCTTGTGACTGTTATATGATGTTGATGTGTATGCACATTGTTTGTTACTTTCTGTTATATTCTATATCTTTTTTTATATTGCAACACAAAGGGGCTTACTTGGACATTTACATGTTATTATGTGTTCTTACATGGCTACTCCAGTTGATTTTTTTTATTTCTGCCTGTTGATTATATATACCTGACATGTACACGATCTTTACCTGTGAAATGTATGGTAATCTATCTACACATTTAGCTTCACCCTGTTTCATCTAAGACTCAGTGTATTGGATATTGAATGATCTGTACACTCCAGTCACTTCATCAATTGTTTGCCTCTTTTATTTTGAAGAGAGACCTGAAGAAGAGAAATTCTGCTGTATCCTGACCTTATCTGCGCTTGACGCAGCTCATGTACCTGAAAGCGTGCTTTGGATTAACTCTTCAGTTTGTGTGTACCTACAAGTGTGTGTTTTGATTTGAAGGGCCCATCCTATGTTTTCCTCGTCTGGCAGTCAGTGCCATATAGAAGGTGACTGTTCTTGTACGGTTTGCAGAAGGTTCAGGCCAGGTGTAAAAATGTACTCCCAGGGCCAAGAATAACATGACTGATGAGGAGGAATGTCCACAGTATTTTTTTTTCTACATTGGCATGACGCATGACACTTTTGCCTTATAGCTGCAGCTACAGTATACCACTGTAGGATAACTTCTTATGAGTGGGTGGGAGTGTTTACTTTTAAAAGTCTGAAGGCAAGAGAACACACATCCATCAAAGCTGAAGTTGACTGATTTGTTGACCATGCAACAGTTTTAGCTTTTGGGATTACATCTCCATGTCCATTGGTTTCACAGTTAGGACTTCAATATTATACAGTTAATAGAAAAAATAGTCCCTTTAAACAAAAAAAACCTTTTTGAGAGACATGAGGTTGCATCTGTGTGGCTGTAAAAAGTGTCCACTGTCAAAGTGACAGTATTATTTTGCACAGCAGCCTACTGTCAGCCATTGTCTCCTCTGCACAAACACAAAGGTATGCAACAATTTTTATATCCTATCTGTCCCCAGAAAAGCAGCATGCATAGGATGATAAGAACATTGATAGAGCTCTGGCAATCCCCTTTGATCATGTCACAAGCCACATTTAATAATAGCTGGGGCAGACTGTTGGCTTCAATGTGGAGAAAGGCTTCAACTCTTCTTTCATCAGGGGCAGGGGCAGCCAAGTCCTATTTGTTCTTGAACTTTAAATGGTACTTCATTTCCCCCTAGTTTTAGGGGTTAAATGTCTGCTTTTGTTTCCTGCTGTTGTCAAGAGCAGCCTGTCTGGAGAAATCCAAAGCAAAAAAGCGAGACTAAATTAAGGGTGTGTCAGAGATGTGGTTGGAAACGCCACTGGTTGACCACGGCTGTCGCTGCACTGCACTGTTTTGTTTCTACCTCCTCATTGTTCCACTCTATCACTGGAAGACATCGGGTTGCAACAATAAAAAGTGTATCTTGCAGTGGTTTTTCTCTCGGTATCCATGGCAATAGCAACACATCTCTCCGTGATAAGTTAAAAACACACGTTTTATTCAGCCCAAAAACCCCAAAGTGGGTCACCCACCTCACTGTCAGACTGCAGCCAAACACTCCCAAGATTCTCCTCATGCCTGAACCGAGCCTGGCTGAGTGACTTCTAGGTCAGGCAGAAATGGGAAGTCTAATCTACTGTTGTGATTCTCCCCTCAAATGAAAGACAGGGAATCTATATGTGTCCTCATGAATATCATCTGACATTTCCTTTGAAGTGTGTCTGAAAGGGAATGTCTCCGTCACGCCCGGAGAGTCAGGCTATTGAAAACCTGAAGCCGAGGAGAGTATCGACTTGGACGGCAAACAGTCGATTCCAGAGAGAGAAAATGAGCTGGAGAGAGTCCAGAGCTCTGACAGGAGCTGCACATGAAGCCTTTATTCTTGTCTGTGCAGGGCTGGGGTTTTAAGGGTTGCACTTTGCATAGTAAACACATGCACACACACACACACACACACACACACACAAGTTGGTGCAGCTATGGTTTTTAGGACATTCCATTGAATTCATTATTGTGGACAGCCTAAACCAATCCCTTAACTTAACCTTAACATTACCTCAATTTACACCTTACTCCTAACCCTAACCAGGACCTCAGAAATTATATTACAACCGGTCTTTGGTCTGCATAAGCACTTCTGGTCCTGACAAGGTTAGTGTTTATACCAGAAAGGTCCCCAATAGGTAACAAAAATGCATCACAGACACACACACTAAACTATATTAACTAAACTAATATAAATATTTCTATTTAAAGAAGACTCTGTGCCCACCCCCCTAAAATAAACACACATGCTCATGTATAGGGGGTTTGCCACAAGGACATCATGAGCAGTTTAAGGCGAAAGAGGGATAGATGGATGGAGGGATGTGTGATGGATGACAGAGATGCTTCAGGCAGACAGAGAGTTGCTGTGACCCAAAACAGCATCCACAACTCCGGGATGGACGCCTCCACCACCACCACTGCCGCCACCGACGCTGCTGCTACTTTAAGAAACCAGACTTCCACGTTGCCTGCCAAAAATAAAGACCTACTGTTTCCTTTTTTTCCCCCTGAACAGCATAGTCCAGAGGAAACCTCTGGGCAACAAATGTTTGAGGTATGGCTGTACAAATTCTGGAAAAAATGACATGTGGGTGGGAAATAATGTTTGGGGCATATAAAGTAGTTTCTGGTCACTCCCAGTGTTTTAAAAAAGCAATACACAGCTTTAGAATACTTGAAAAGCTCTACCATTACACATCACATAACTGTTACATCTTATCTGCCATGTGTCTCTGCTCTATCCGTATATCCAAAACAAGGCATAATGCCTAATCTGAAAAAACAAAAGCCAATATCAATATCCATAAAAGACAACTCATATAAGCACGTTTTGCTCCCGCCCTGTGATTGGCAGGATGAGTGTACTCGTTACATATTACTTATTGAAAAAGCCAAAATCAAATACATGACACAACATGAGATATATATTTTTTTTCTTTAACAATGGCTCAGTCCAGATAAAACGGAAATCAGAGTGCTGTATGCTTATGTATTTCCTGTAAAAACACGCAGCTAGAGAGGGACTATAACGCTTGTGTGACGTCCCCCGAGTCCAGCAGCTGTGGCAGATGCATTAGCTGACTCTGCAAGAACTGAAAGCTCCCAAACGAAAAGGACTTCCAGACTGGGGCTGAATACAGTATCTGATGCCAGCATAGGACAGTTTGGTCTTTTAGCAACAAGTCCATCTGGAAACTTCATAAATCACCTTGGTACTGCTCAGTCATCAAACTGACCTCTGTGTGTCTCGGAGGTTGTGTTCACTGGGAGGCTGCTGAGCCCCATTCAGTTGCATGCTAACAGCAGCTATAGCAGCATTTAGCGATGTCAGGGTGTTATTGGTTGAAAGCCGTTCATGTTTACGTAAGCATGTGTCATATTTTCTTTTACAGAATTGGTGCCTACGCATTCCCCAGCTGCAGAAAAGCTACCCTCAGCATGCAGCCAGCCTACGTCTTGTAAGTATTTACTGAGCATCAACAGCTAGCTTAGCCTCAGTGGCTAAACACAGCATCACTTACAGTGCTCACAGGAAAGCTGTGGGTTCACTAACCCTCCAACTGTCAAAAAAACAAAGCCCGCTAAGAGGACATGGGTATATATGATAATTCTTGAGCTAAAGACTAGCCGCCTCCCACAACTTCATCACCTGTGCTGAGCTAACATGTTCCAGTGAGACAGCAAATAAGCCGACCCCCAAAATGTTAAAGTAACATTAAAAGAGTATTACTCGGATTTGAAACTCTAATGTAATTTTAATTTGTTATCCCTTACACTACTTGGCACTGAAAAAAAAAATCACATACTGTAACACCCTGTAAATAATGCCTTACTGCCCAACATTGGGCAGGACATTATCATTTGCCAGTACCTTCTAAAAGCATTGCAAGTGACCATTACAAAAATATAATTCATGATCGTTAACTGATCTGCCACTTTAATGAATAGTTAAGGTTTGGTTAAGTTTAGGTAACTAAAACTACTTGATTAAGGTTAGGAAAAGTTTGTCCCATGATTAAGAGGCACCAACACTGACTGTTTGTAGGATACTGGATGTAAACTGTGGTTAAGCCGGAGGCTTTGTAACCACATTTTCCCTAAGAAGTTTTGCTGTGCTACAACAATGTCTTGGTACTTTGCCTCTGCCTCTCAGAGACAACAGTCATTATTCAAACAGCCACAAAATGTTGCATGTTGGGAAAATGTTAATGTTCCTAGTAAAGTGTTTAAACAATTATAGACCAATGTTGTCATTTTTTCTGATGAAGACAGTCCGGAAGAACCCTATTAAAACTCTTAATCTAGTTCAATTAACCCTTAATGAACGAGTTGTGGTTGAGAAATTCTTCTTTATTAATAGTTACATTTTTTAAAAATATCACACAAAGCCTTCATTGGCAAGGCCAGTTTATATGTAATATACCTTTCAACAACAAGGCGATTCAAAGTGCCTAATTACTGACATTTAGAGTTTGATGTTGCATTAATGAGGAGCCCTTTCAAAAAATTTGAAAGTGAAGACTTTCCACCATTTTCAGTCCATCATCTGTTTACTCCTCAGGGATTTACAGATACAAC